TTGTTACTTTCTGACATTTATGTATACATGTATATATATACAGAGATGATAAAATATTGTCCATAAAACAGTGTAAGATTTTCTTATTAAAAAGTAGCATAAGATAAATATATGATAAATTTCTCATTGTCAATAAATGAAGTTATCTTAATTCAAATGTATGGTTAAGCTAAACATAGGGTTATATCATTTGCTTAAGGATAAATATACCTTTCTTTCTGATGGAGTTTTGTTCTCTGAATTGGATGGCTTGATCGTGAAACTTTCATTGTCCTTCTGAACTACATCATCAGCAAATACTTCAGGTAGAATTGAAGTGTTCGAATTTTTCCACATATGGTTCACAGCTTGTTCTGTAGACCTTAATGTTGATTGGTTCTTGTGGACCTTCAACCTGTCAATGTTTACTTCTTTGTTTTGGTTTTTGGTCCTATGTTTGTCCATGATTTTCCTGACTGGTTGGTAAATGGGATCGATTTCAATGTGATTGTTGATTGCCGATTGACCTGAGTGCCAAGCTTCTAAAAATTCCCTGGTTTTTTTAGGATTGCATCTGTCCAAGATTTCCACATTTTTTCTAGTCGAATATGTTTCCGCAGTTGTCCACATGGATTGATATAAGTGAGAGCACTTCACTTCTACCTGAAGTTTGTAATGATGATATCGTTCAAAAGAACGATGGAAACACAACGACCACTAATACGTTTATAGCTGTTATCACTTAGTCAGATTAGTTTGCTAGATAGAAATAATATCAAATATTATGAAACCTTTTTACAACTTACAGGGCGTAAAAATAAGAATGTCACAAATTTATGAAATAAATTTTCATATTTTACAGTAACTTAGCAATAAAATGTTTTGGATAATAATGTGTACTTGTGGTCAGCAAACTGTACTACTTGGTTTAACTTGTATAAGATTCTGATAGTTTGGTTAATATTGGTGATTGAAGTAGAATTTATGCACTCTTAATATTTTCACTTTTACTGAAAATTTTAGCCAATAATATTTTTCGGTTATGGTATGATGACTTTGGAGACGATTGATAGAACATTCCACACCTAAGCTTTGAAGTATTTAGTAAAATGATGTTCAGAAGTTAAATTTGACCAGTCATTGCTTACACATCTCATTCATAAACCTTTAAAAATGACAGACATTTTGTAAACAGTTGAAACAAAGTTGTAAATAAAAATAACAAGATAATTAAAACTGTTAATAGTAATATAAAACATTATACTTAATGAATAGATTAGTGGTTATTTTGACTCAGTTGCACTGTGGGTAGCACGGTAATTGAAGTTCATAATAACAAATATGAGTCTCAATGTGAATGCGAACACTGAAATGTAAGGAAATCCAGCTTATGAGTTATAAACTGGACGAAATGCGTATCCTTTATTCTACTCCTAGTTATGATCCATATTTTAGGAAAATGTTAGCTAGTTAGTCAATAATGCTTCATATTAAGATGGTGAGTGACTTGAGTTTGGATCTATGAAGGCATACTAATTCCTTCAAGAAGAATTTCAATGAGTAACAAATAACTTGAGATTTTGATAGAAAACATTATTGTATCTAATAATCTATAATAATTATAATACCATTCCACTTAATATGATAAGTTTATTACAGAATTAATCAATAGGATTCGGTAATCACTAGTAACTATACTGTATTAAGTAAATAACTATTCAGTAGTCAGTACGTTCAATTACAAATCAATGAAATAGCTAATTATTATGTTTAATTAATTCATTTGATAATACATGTACTGAGACAAAACCAAGGTAAAAAAGGCAAATATTTAAGTTATAAAACAGTGATTTTTAAAATACAAATAAGAAAAAAATTGTTTCAGACTGAATTATTTACAAATGGTAATAACTATAAATGTTGTAAATGGTGACAAGCAATGTAGTGAACGAAAACACAAGTGGGAACAGTCGAATGTATTTAAGTATACAAATTAGAGAACGTTCATCAATCATCTCAGACTTCAGTGTTTATTCGCTTACCCATCAATCATTTTTTGTTTTCATTCTCTTTTCTCCGAACTTTTTAATCTGCTGCCACCAGGTATTTCACTTTCGATTCATGATACATACTACTAGTAGTACATACCACAGTAATAATCAATTGAAAAGCCGATTTAGTATTCTTTAGGTTTCTAAATTATTTCCTCTACATTGTATACTTTCATATCTTGAAACAAAAAAGAAATTTTATATTCTCCCACTATTCTAATTTATTAATTTTTTGATTAAGATCATGAACCGATTGATGTTTGACCACCATTGAAAACCTGGAAGCACTGGACGGCCGTTTCAATGGTGGTCTAACATCAATCGGTTCATGATCCCAATAAAAAAAGACTTGCCAATCTCCACAACCACTATATTGATAATTAACATGTGCTCACTAGTGAATAGCTTCGTGAGAAAATTCACGGAGTTCTGGTGGGAAGTCGTGACCAATGGAGCTAATCCGTGTCGGGTAGAAACAGGTGTCTACCTCAGTACAATGAAAGATAGTCGCGCAATTTCGTGGATTGGTTGAGGTTAGACATTAACACCATTGGATGCCAGCTCAGTGGTTCAGTAGATTAAGCGTTCGCGCGCGAGACTGAAGGCTCTGGGTTCGAATCTTGTGGGGCGGAATCGTGGATGCGCACTGCTGAGGAGTTCCACAATAGGATGAAACGGCTGTCCAGTGCTTCCAGATGTTCAATGGTGGTCTAACATCAATCGGTTCATGATCTCAATACAAAAACTTGACAATCTCCACAACCACTATACTGATATTCTGATTTATTATAGATATGTTGTAAAGAAAAAAGAACATAGACAAAATTTTGTAAATCAGTTACAACCTTTACTTAGAAGATAAACAAATCGTCTTAATAAATAATCTAACAAACCAGATTTTTTTCTATCTCATTTGAAGATCTTTAATTGCAATGTTTTGTATGTTTACACAAGTTTTTTGTGACTATTCTGTAAGTTATGAAAACACTTGAAAATCAAATGAATGATCATAATATTCTTTGCGTACTCCAAACAATATTAATGTAACAGAAAGAGATCTCTAGTGACAACGTATAATTAAAGTGTGTAGGATTCAAACAATAAACGAATATTTATGCGTAACTATGTAGTGTATGCTACTTATGTTGACAGACATAAGCAGTATGTAACATAAGTCGGAAGTGGAAACCCTAACAGAAGAAGGCTAAGAAGTTCGAGTTGAAAATAAAAAGAAATTGTGAACTGGAAGAACCATACAGAATGTGAAGGACAAATGACGGAAATTTGAAAATGAAGTATTCGGTGTATCGTTCTTATATTTTACTAGGATACTCTGTAGTTTTGCATTAAAGTACATTGGTTGATCCCATCTGTGTTCTCGTTCACCATAACTGGATGTACTGTACTTCTAACTTCAGATTTTATGGAATAAACTCCGAAATTTAGATACTTATATTTCGCTTTTTTGTTTTAGTGATACCAATTTCAAAGGCTTTTACACAAAATTTTATCCATAACCTTAATTGTAATCCATGCTTTTTCTCTGAACTACACTCAGCTAGTCAGGTAATACGTCACCTGTGACAACAATCTTCCATTTTTGGAATTCTATTTGTATGCCTTGCTCGATTCTATTTTTCAGTAAATCTATGAAAAAGTAAACATTTGCTTCAACGATTTTTCAATTTTTTCCACAATTATTAACTTTCATAATTGTACGTCTACGTGTCAAATGTAACTTTATTCGGACTTATTCTGATATGAAATAAATATATTTGTTTTATTTTTTAGCGTTAGTATTATTGTTTCTAGGTTGTATTATTCTGCTACGATTATCATTCATCTTTATAAAAATGAAGAAAAACTGTATAAAATGTTACGTTTGTTTCAGTACTGAATGACAATTAAAATTATATAGATCAAGACTGTTGTAAGGGTACAAATTGAAGTTATCTGACATTCTGATTCACAAAGTTACTTATTAAGTTGTCAAAGGTAATTGACAGTATGACCTGAATTAAAACAAAATCAATTTTCAAGACAAAAGTAATCTTCTTGTACGCTTCGAATGAACCAAAATGAATTATATTGATTTCTTTGGCTTCATTATTTTCCCACAGTACCTGTTAAAATGGACACAAAAATTATACTAAAACATTGATTGATAATATCACATAGTTCTAATAAACCTTGCCAACTAATTATATAAATCTATATTTATCAAAGAAACTAACTGATTTAAATGATGATAACGTTTATATTTGTTCTGAGTTTATGTTTTCTCAAAATATCATTACCTTTCATTAACAGTACAATGTTTTTGTTTACCAAGTAAAGATAACGTGAGAAATAATCACTATAGTTAATTTGCTTTCAGATTAACATTAATGATAATTTTAAGATCGAAATTCAATTATTATATTAAAATCAGGTTCATTATTCTGTTAGAGGATTTCTGGTTATTGCAATAATAAATTATTAAGTATTATTTTGTTTTATTTCATGCTTGATGAGTCAAATGTTTTTAATCTTCATTCGATGTTAACTTTTAGTTTAAGATGTTTGGTCTTAGATTAGTTCAAGTTCACATTCAGTTAGCTTCTTGTTAAATAAACATTAAAATTATGGAATGTAAATAAAAGAAGTGTTAACCATTCAAATATTTTTTACCATATACTGGTTTCAGCTCGAAAGCTGACTAAATATAAGGAGCAATTGACATATGTTTCGTTTCGGCTTAGGACTCTTCAATTATTCTTACTTAAAATAGTCATAAACAAAGTAGAAGCCAACGAAGCACTACATGAATTTGGGTGATTCACAACCGACTGATGGGATGTGCCCTCAAAAATCAAAAACCGTTACATAAGTCGTAAAATTAATTTTATAAAGTTATTTATAAAAAGTGTATTATTTTATACTTTATTAAGTTAGCCAATAATTATTTATTGTATATTTTAACTTTTCTAGGTGTTTACACACTATCTGATGAGAAACGTTTAATTAAACGTTTATTAAACAAATATCAAGCTGCAGGAATAACTGGTCGTCCAGTAAAGCATACATCGGAAAAAGTTCTTGTGGAAATGTCACTTTCATTAATACAAATATTGGATTTAGATGAAAAAAACCAAGTATTAACTACAAGTGTATGGTTAAATTATGTAAGTGCTATTTTATGGTATACACTTAAATTATAATGAACTTACATGTTATTTCATATATTGTCTACACTTATTATATATAGTAGTTGACATTTCATGGATCAATTTTATTTGAATAAGACTTGTTTTCATTTAGGGGATCAAATAAAATAGATACAATAAAATTATGCGGTGCATAGAATTTTTGGGAAATAGGACATTTTTTAATGATGATAATAATGGCAGGTAATAACTGTTATAACTTGAATACGACAATGTGTAACTTTTCATTTACTATGGTTAAAGGTAGCGGTTACAAATCAAATCAAAAAATTTGATCGAATAATTTCACAGTATTCGGGTGCCGAGTTAATGTGAGACATTAAAGAGGAAGAATGTATTTGTAAAATCTCAGTGAATGAATTTTGAAGTAAATCCAACGTTTTGCCCGGCAATCTGGTCCAAGCTTTCCTTGAAAAAGCTTTCATGTCTCAAAACAAAAAAATGTTTACAAAAAGAAAAACCTCTAATATCCACTTCATTACTAATAATCGTCTTTAGTGGCCTGATGTCTGACTCCAGTTATATCAGGTCACTAAAGTAGTGAGCCCAACGACAAACTCAACATTGCAAACTATGTCGATGAAGAACCTTCCACATTCTATACTTTCGACGAATAAACTCAACGCAGCTTACTCAGTCGATAAGCTTGTCGATAATATCATCATATCACGACTAAACGGAGGTAATCAGGACGTATATTTCAGTAACAATCATTCATACGATCTAAATGGAGTTAGGTATAGGGCCATTGAACATCTTTGTCCAGACCGGAATGAAATATTTCATTTTCTATATGTTTATTTATTACTGTAATATTTAGACGTAAGATTTTATTTAATAGAAAAATATTTCAGCATTTTTAATTTCATTTACATGTAAGTTTTTTCTAACATTAAAAATGAAAATTTTGATTGCTTGATAATTCTGAAGATTTAGTTTTTCTCTTTATCATGATGAATAACTTGTTATCTGAACTACCTGTTCCCGATATTTGGCTATTTCAACAAGATGTCTGTTTCCTTGTTTGTTTTAACACATCATTATGCTTATTAGTAGCATAACCTATTCAGGTACGTTTCTGAAAAGTTTACGGAATTTCGTTGTACGAGTTATAAAAGAGCCCAGTCAGTGACATCGTGGTTGCTGACAACATACATCGAAAGGAACATACAAATGTCGATTCCTGAACTGCTAACATCTAACTGGCAACCACTCGATATTTACTGCAGGGATCGATCAAGAAATACGAAAAGGAAACTTGTTGAAACACTTGGTGCTGAGAATTCTATAATGTACCAAAAATATAATATTCAATAAAGTCACTAATAATAATAAACTTTTATTCTTGAAAAACATCTTTCATTGGTTTGATATAATTTTATTTACATTAATTTTTAAGTATACGACAGATAGATAGTGTTTGAAATCTTTTGAATGGAATGACCAATATCATACAGATATTTCTCCCTGAGACGAAATTACCCTAGATACCGACTAAAGTTCATTTTATTGTGAGCCAAAAGGTAAAAATTGATTCACAAACAATCCTAGTAGCAACCGTCAAAAGTACCAGGAAGTACTGCATAATATTTCACAAAAAATTCAGAAAATAATAAGGGGAACAGTGAAAAAAGAAGAGGTTATATACAAGAACCAAAAAGTCACCAAAGGATATATTAGATAATCGCTAAAATAGTTAACTTACTTAAATAACAAATCATGAAGTTAATTGTTTTCCATTCTAACAAACACGTAAAAACTAGCGACAAAATAAAAAACGATCATCAAGATAAATACCACAGATCGTGTTTTACATAACTGAATCATTAATATTACAGAACTCATGTGACTCCATAAAGATTTTCAACTTCTTTTCTTCAACAAATTTTAAGTTGAAAGTTCAATATTTATAGGGTCTGAGCTAGGGTTATTCAACGTTCATGAATAAAATCTTGTACTGGTTTATCATAATTATATTCACAATAATTTCTCAGTATACGATCTACATTTCAAATAAAAATATTATCACGTCAGAATTGAAACTTTGATTTGTCTTATTAAGATATCATGTTCTATACTTTCTTTGAAAATATTTTTTTACTTAAAGCCATTTTCGATTCTAATTAATATACGATCTTTAAACGAATACTATGTTGATAAAATAAAGGGTTAACCATACTTCATATGAAAACACTGTCAATATAGAAATTCATCATGAACACGTATATACTTATAATATGGGATTAGACCATATTTTCTTAAATTACCAATATACTGACATGTAACCTTAATCATCAACTAATTATCCAAAAAAATTATTAGTTTTTAACGTTACTTATTTATATTCATTTATCATATCAACAAGAGTTCATGATAAGAAATCAATTGGAGTTATCAAATCAAATTACATACACACAGTTCCCTTTATTATCTTAAAGAGAGCAAGAACAAAGATTGGTGCAGAATAATATGAATTCATTTTATTTCGTTAGGTTGTCATCAGCTGCTTACAACCTAAAATATTTAAAATTTAACATTATTACAGATATTGACATATTTATACATAAGAGGGTAATTAAGGATGAATAAATGTATCATGGTGTAGCGAAAATTCCGATAGAGTTAATGAGGTCATACAATTTTGCCTCGAATAAGTAGAGTTTGAAAGCGAAAGTTCCGGAACATTGAAATAGTGATTAGAACTCATGAAAATAGATTAATGGTAATAAATAAAATATGAATTGAAATCAGTCAGTTATGTAGAATGCAATTTAAACTTCAGAAATAGTTGGAATAATGACGCAATAAATAAATAAGTAAAGAAATAAATAAACGGAAATAAATGAATAAAAAGGAGGTTATTGTTACCAGGGTAACGAAAGACTAATTACTGTCTCTTTTTGTATGCATAGGTCTGGTTTTAGACGTTTGATTACTAATGCTTCAGTAAATTTCCGAAGGTTGGAGCTTGATTGTTTATTAATCACATTGAAGGACTTCAGTGTATCGACTTCGTGTCCTGTGTCAGTGCATGAATTCATATTATTCTGCACCAATCTTTGTTCTTGCTCTCCTTAACAAATTAAATTAACCTAACTGTAAATAGTATCTTAGCATGATACCGTCAATTAAGTTTTTCTCTTCAGAAACTTTGATAAATTTCAAATTTAAAAGAAAATGATACCTTAAATTACTTTTAAGTAAAATGTTTGTCAAACTTAACATCATTTATTGTTAGATGGTGGTTGGAGGTAGTCGACAGGAAACCCTGGACCCGGGTTTCGTGCTACTTGGTACTCGTCAGCAAGGTGTATCTGTAATCTTGAGGGAACTGGTGCTACCTGGTGGATTCGATCACGTATCACCCAGCTTCACAGTCAGAGACATTACCACTGAGCTATCCGAGCCGCCACCACCCAGTGATCAACCAATTGTGATCATTTATTATCTATTTAGTTACTCTGTTTCTCCCTCCATATATATATATATATCCATTTTAAGTAGTATCAAAGTGTTTTTCAAAATAATAATCTTTGTTTTATCTTAATTTTTAAAAAAATATGATTTGTTAGTCAGATAAATAAATCCTATGAGAATTTAAAATAATTTTAGCATAGATATTGTTATCCAGTTAAACGATCAGTTAGAGAATAATTAAAAAGTTGTTCATATTTATAAACTATTAGTTATTCTGAATATGTTACACGGATACAAATATACATTAAATTATTGTTGGATTAAATAAAGATGAATAAAAGTGAAATTATAAAAAAAGAAAAAAAATTTTCTACTTTATTCCTATAATTTTTATCATAATATTTAAGATAACTATTTCAATGAAATAGAAAATGTTCATCATGATATTTTCATTCTGTAGTGGCTTCGCTTCTTTTATCAATCACCATGATAATCGTTATTATATAAAGCTCAACGATGTTTAGAAATCAGAATGCAATGAGAAGCGGCAACCGCAGTTCATTAGCAGATAGCGCAGATTACAAAGCTATAAGCACATCAGGGTATATACGAGTAATTACATCGGTGAATTTATAGTAAATTGAGTCAGGACACAACAATGAAAAGCAAAAGCTGATAAATAGGATTTGAGTACATATATACATGGGGAGGAGGATGAATCATTGAGTGATATTTAAGCTATCGACCTTTTAGATAGATTCTGTCATGTGATTTAGTGATCATAACGGTACAAAGAAATATACTGTTCAAATAACATTGTTTGTCAAGTTACTAAATGGGCTTAACTAAAATTAACCATAATCGAAACGGGTTGTAGATAGTTGCCATAATACATCAAAGTCATGGAAATTATCCTTTCACATTGTAGAGAACATTTGTTTACGAATATGATATAATAAAGTAAACTTTTCTATGGAAATTATTCAGTAAATCTTAATGTAATTATCATAGATATTTCTAGAATCCTACTATTATACTTACATTATTTATTTTATTGAAAAATGGAATTATTATTTATATTACAAATGAAGTAAACTTTGATCAAATTGTTTGAATGTATTTAAACAATGAAATTAAATGGAATAAATTCAAGTTATGGAAATAAAGACCGTCAGATGATTTATATATTGATCAAATTGCATCACTTTACAAATGAGATGATTACTACTTCACTGAGTATATAGTAGGTCAAGGTAGATAATGAGTGAATTTTATTACTTTCGATGCAAGCTTCACTTATTTTTATCCATTAAACTGTTGTTTCTCTGATTCGAAGAATATGAACATTTACTCTCGTATAGTATATAACTATAGGTATGCGATATTATTAAATTTAACTAATTAATATTGATCTTAAATTTCTTATTGACTATATAGGTTTAAAACTACTACATTATCCACTTAAGAATAGTGGAAAATAGTTAAAAAAATAGAATCTTAAATTTTCAGAAAGTCAGCTTATATGACCTTCCTTATAGGAA